GGGTTTAGAAGGTTCTGGAAAGCACGGTTGGGGCCTCGAGTCTTCCAGAAAGACCGCTGGGGCCTCGAGTCTTCCAGAAAGACCGGGAGACCACAGCTTCGCGATTCGTGCTGGCTGATGTACTCCCTCTCCGTTTCTTTTTAGTCTGCCTATAAGATTTGTTAAAGTCAAACTTTGTTAACTTTGACTAAGTTTATAGAAAAAAAATATCAAGATTCACAATATGAAATCAATCATATTAGATGCATCATGAAATTAATTTTCATACTATATAACTTTAGTATTATAGATGTTGATATTCTTTTTCTATAAAGTCGGTCAAACTTGACTAAGTTTGACTTTGACCAAATCTTATATGCAGACTAACAAAAAGAAAGGAGTACGACCAGGGCGCAAGGGTGGTGATACGTTTTGATCCGTTGAGAGAGGTTTTGATACTCGATGTCCTCTGTGTAACCAACTGGACGAAGATGGTGGGCATCTGTTTGTGAAGGGGAAAGTCTAAAATAAACCTTGAAGTTGTAGATAAAAGCTAAATCAAATCCTGAACTTTGAATCTCAGAAATTGGCACTCTCAATTTGTAATCCCAGTCTATTTTCGACCATAGACCTGTTTGGCACACCTGAAATACTACAATCTCGGCCGGGATAACTAGCTGCTCTCACGGATAAGAATTTGGGCTGGCCCACTATAACAGAACAAGAATTCGTAAAGTTCAAAAATGTTCGCATATTTCTAAAATAGTTCAGGAGTTAAAAGATGTTCCTGTTTTATATTTTTTTTCAAGAATTCAATTCATTTTGTGTTTAAAAAAAATTGGAATGCTGAAATTCTATTCGCATTTTAAACACTTTTTGCTATTTAGAAAAATCATATTTGTCAAAAAAATGTTCAGAATTCCAACAGTTTTTCACATGCTATGAAAAATGTTTCGGATTTTCAGAATTGTGTCACTTTTTTTAATAATGCTTTTGAATTTCCTAAATTATTTTGTAAATAATGTTCTAAAAGATGTTCCAGATTGTTGGTCGCGGACTCGACTGGGCTGGCCCACCAGACATAAAGCGAGTTTTTTTTCCACTTATCACGCGCCATAAAAATTCTTACTTTCTTTTTCTTAACGCGCGACGTAATAATTTCAAAAGAGAAAAAGATGCCGTGGAGTCGAACTTTGGACCCAGCAGGTTTGACCTGATTTCGCTAGCCACTACACCAGAAGACTATGACTTACATAATAAGAGGCCGAAAATATTTAATCAGAAACCAAAGCGTCGAACTTTGAATTTTTTTTAGGGTCAAACAAGTATTGAAAACGTATTTATTTCTGAAATCTTTGAACAATTTATAAAGTGCGTTTTTGAAAATTTCAATTACTTTTAAAAAACCAATAACTTTCAAAAAGAGAACACCTTTTGAAACATAAACATTTTTTAAACCTGAACAAAAATTTAAAGTGCAAACGCTCTTTGAAACATAATTTTTTCTGAAACCTGAACAAAATTTTAAAGTGCAAACTTTTTTTACAATGTAAAAAAATGTTTGCATGTTGTAAAAAAATGTGTCATAACCTTAACAGAATATACGTGACATGTGTTTGAAAAAGTGTATGCAAATTAAAAAATGTTGAACCATGTAAAATCGTGTTTGTGTAGTTTTATAAAATGTTTATTGTCATTAAGAAAATGTAGAACATGTATTTGGGAAAATATTACCATGTAGTCAAAAAAGTCTTGAAAACATTTAACTTAAAAATGTCCATAATGTATTTGAAAACATCAAAAGTTTCAAATATTTAATGTGTGCGTTAAAAATGTACATTGGGTACTGAGAAAAATTAGACATGTGTAAAATGAAAAAAGAAAAGAAAATGTAAAAGAAAAAAACTAAGAAAAAACAAATTAGTGCGCACGCGTGAGCGACTATGCTACTGGGCCAACCCAATTCAGCAAATACCGGCCAAGTCCTCTTAAGGTTTAAAATAGATCAAGATTAGAGAGTTTGGTGTGCTGATTTCAGAAATTGAGAGTTCGGGGTTCGGTTTAGCTTTTGCCTACAAATTCAAGATTTGTTTTGAACTTTTCACGTTTGTGAAATGCAAATTCGTAAAGCATGTGTGGGGAGCTCTTGATTTGGAGGAGAGGAGGTTGGCGCTTGGCAGTGTTGGACCTCGCGAGTCCTATGGCTGCTATGGAGCATTTGTATTTTTTCTGAGAGTACGTCAATGGCGTACCTTATCTTTACTAGTAGAATGCCCGTGCGTTGCCACGGGCTACAATGCATATTATATGAATCCAAAATCGAAGCTCATTTCACTCCCTCATAAGTACGAACATGTTTAGATATCAAATGGAGAGCCAGCATGCTCTCCAAAGTTCAATGTATGAACAGTACGAGCTCTTTACCATATATATATCCTCCCAATGTGCAAGGATGAATCGCAATCCCACAAATAGACAAAAGGCTCGTTAGAATTGATACATATCACGCCAATTCAATTACTAAAGTTCATCTCCAATTTTGGAAGCAAATGGCCAGAAGAGAAATGATGCAATTTTGTCTACTTTGGATTGTTCCCTCTAAAGAAAAATGTTAGTGATCTTTTTCTGAGTGTAGTATCCCGAAAATGAAATATAAGAGCATTTATATCATTGAAGTAATGATCTAAACGCTCTTATATTTCTTTATAGAGGGAGTACTATTTTATTTTCTATGCATTGAATCAACATAAATAAAATTCAACCATTTTATGAATCTGTACATACACACGACCATCAATTGAATCAACATAAAAACTCCAACAACTATACTATCTCCGCCTCCACAATCTAAGATTTTTTTTGCAAGAAATTGTTCAATAAAACAAACATAGCAAATCCACGCATGAGAAAATTAACAAAATTTCCAGCTTAGGTAAACCGAGTAAGTTAAATATAAAAAATGGAGTACATATAGCACGAATGATTTAATTACTACATTGATAAATTAGGAAACTCGTTTGAACTTACAAGTATAGATTTAAAACACATTACTATAGAATTTACTTGCAAACTTTCACCTTTCATGTTACGAGACCAAAGAAGCATCCCAAAAAATAGACCTTGTGCCTCTGCAAGCACTTGCAGTAATGTCGTCTACTGGTCGGAGTTAAAATAGCTTTTCATTAACAATAATTCTTTGTTCCATGATATCCTAAGCCTGCTGCGATTCCTTTCCACAGCTGAATTTAGTCAAACCATCATTGAACAACACAGTTGGTTCAAATAGAGATAGGTTGTGCAAGTGAAGAATGGAACAAATCACTCAGCAATCTAAGGTTCAAATAGAAGACAATTCAGATGCAACCAAATGCCCCAAAATCTTCAATGTACACAAGAATGCCGATAAAAGCCAATTCATCTTGTTGTTCCCTTCATGCTTCGACAATTTCTATGATTCATGTCCATCAGTCTGTAGGGCATTCCCACATGCACCTGTGATGGCAAGCACCAATCAAGAAATGAACAAGCTAACAAAAACTATACTAAGTGGAGGCTATCAAAGTTAAGTTGAAAGAAAGGTCCAATAGTTAAGTGATATTCTCATACTACAAGTTTGGCGATGTCAATTTCAATATCTACATCAAACAAAGCCTTTTAAGAAAAAAAAATCATATCAACAGATTTAAGATGGAGAGAGGATTCTAGATAGTTGGTCTCACTGAAAATAGAGGTGCGGGGTTGTGCATTACACTGATGTGATAGTAAAACAAAGATCGCCAGACAATTTTAACGTAGGGCATGCACTGACACGCCGCTGGTATTGTAGTCCTCCACTCTATGTGTGATTTCAGATTTATATTTGTTTGATAGAAGAAAGATGATAGGAAATACAACCATCATGTTGGGCACTGTTTATGCATTGGAAGGTAATTACTATGGCAAATAAAAGATTCATTTAGGACATGTAAACAAAAAATAAAAATGAACTCCGGCCGTTATCACCCAACTAAAACCATTGGATAATGTACAACTCTATATTTTCAACATACATTGAGTAACAGTAGAGAGAAGATGGCCACATGTCAATTCTCAATGGGAACATCTTAAGAATCGCTTACCCTATAGAAAGAATAGCAGGATGGGACGTTTATGGCTCAAATGGACCGAAGAATACTTTTTACAATCATACAACTCTAGGATTTGATTCGGATGAAGTAGAAATATAGATAAACATATTTTTTTCGAGAACACAAATATAGATAAACATAATCGGTATGAAGGAAACACTGTTATCATTTTTTCACCGACCAATGTACTCATTGAATTCGAGCGACCTGTGAACAGTGCCCAAATCATGATGGTTGTGCAAAATTTCTAGTAACATTACTTCTAACAATAATGAATTAGTAACGTATAAATATATTTTTTCAGTCAGCTTGGAATCGGCAAACCGAGAGAATGTATAGGTTTTTCTTCTTTAGCTTTTTGGCCCAGCATTGTCACAGATTTTTGCCATATTCCCTTTTGAGATCCTCGATTACTACCTTCATGTAAAGCATAACCATCTACATTAGATCTCGACTGTTGAGTTTCTAGGTAGTAGGTATCGTTTCACATAAGCAGGCAAACACAAAGCTCTAAAAGTAAC